CTCTCTCTCTCTCTCTCTCTCTCTCTCTCTCTCTCTCTCAAGCTTTTATAAACCGTCCCTATAGTAGTGTCTCAACAAGTAAAATAGGAATTAAAATAGCACAGCGTGCAGTATGAGATGCATTAAAGCCAATTAGACATTAAAATAATGGGAGAATAAAAAGTTTTTCTGCTGGTGCTGAAAAGGAAGAAGTGTTAGCACCAGGCAAACCTTTCTGGGGAGCCCATTCCACAGTTGGGGCACCACCACAGAGAAGGCCCTCCCCCAAGTAGCCACCCTCCTAATCTCCATCAAGGAGGGCTCCTGAAGAAGGGCCTCCGCCTCCAATCTCAAGGGGCGGGAGGACACATAGGGAAGGAGGCCCTCCTTCTTCAGGGACCCAGGTTCTTTAGGGCTTTATAGGTCATCACCAGCACCTTAAATTGGGTCCGGACTTCAATTGGTAGCCAGTGTAAGAGACAGAGGACCGGTGTTCTATGCAAATACCTGCCGGTCCCTGTTACTATTCTGGCAGCTCTATTCACGCATTGTTCAGAAGATGCCAGAATTTCATCTCCGGCTCTTATGCTCATCTCCCCTGGTGGCATAGTAGTTACCTCAGCAGCACGTCAGGTTACTTAGACTTTGCTGGAGAAACTGCACTCTGACTACTGCACCCATCAGCATTAACCACTCAAAACGGGGCTAACATTGTTCCAAAGAGAGGCTGCCTTGTTGTCCCGCAGACTTCCCATGATTCCTCAGTGACACGAGAAGAAGCCAAATTGTTGCGTCTTCAGTGCATTGGAGTAGCAGGACTACTCGTCCTCCAGAGTCAAGCTAATTTAGACATTAACAGTTCTCATGTTTTTCATTAGGCAAAATCCTTCAGAATTTCTACACCTCTTACTGGCCGAAAATACATAAAGGAGAGTGACTCTTGCGCGAGTCCCATTTCCATCGCCACGTACAGTTTGACACGGCTTCATACAATGCTTACAGGACTGAAAAATGCGCCCAGTGAAAATCTGGAGCAAATTCTCAGGTCAGTCAAACCACCTGCATGCAGCTTCAACAAATAGACCATGTCGGTTCTAGAACAAACCATTTTCAGATTGCAGGTAGCAGCTTCCTGAGAGGGAAAACCTTTGCTGCCCTTTTGGAATAAACAAACACCTTGGATCAAATGGTAGTTCCCAATTATAGCTGTTTTTCATGTACCATAAGATGAAAGCAAATCGATCTATTTGGGAGCAGAAGGAACAATAGGAAATAAACTTACAAAGCCAAACATGCAACTTTCCCTCTATTCTCAGTAAATTCTGTGTAAGGTTTCTGTGAAATAAGATTGGATACAAGTAGTATTACCACTCTGCAAACCAAAGGCTGCTTTTTATATAAGAAACGATATCTCCCCGGACAAACAACCCACAACTCTGGACATTTGTTCCTTATCAGGTCATGTTCCAGGGATCCTTCGGTGTCAATTGCCAGCAGAGTGAAAGAAATGTATGAAATTTATTGTAAGAAGACCCAGTCTGATGGAGAACCTGGTAGTGTCAAGGGTAAGCCATGTCCAAAACTGTATAAAACTGCTTCCATTATGCCTTGGTGTTCCCAGTAAGTCCTGTGTGAGGTACAACAGGTTTTGAAATACACTGCCTGTGGCTTAAGCTTTGTTCTGAAGGAATGGAATGATTTTCCCTGAAGATACTCAAGTGTGGTTCAGGGCAAAATCACCCATTTGTACCATTGGTAGTTTTAAGCATTTAGAATTAATTATTGGTGTTTGGACTCCAAATATTCTAAATACAGATGAAAGGGTGTATCTTTCATGGGGTTTGTCTTTTTTTTCTCAGTGACTATTTAATAACAGTGGATTAAATCTAATGACGTCTAGCTCTTCAATTTTCTTTAATCAATATGGGTAGCCGATGTTTCTCTTGTTCTATAATTATTGCAGATATTGCTGGAAAACACTTTCGTCTTGCTGAAGTCCTTTACTATAAGGTTTTGGAATCTGTTATTGAGCAAGAAAAGAGAAGACTTGGAGATGCTGATTTATCTGTAAGCAAGTTCAGTACAGTGGTTTGCCAAAATGCTCAAATTCTTTTATTCTTCAAAATTAATTGGGCAAAATAGGGGAGGGGTGGGGAATACTTTTTCAGTGTACTGTTACGGATATGTATTTTGAAACGATCAACATTTCTGTTGTCTCCTGCAAGCAAGACCCACTACTGTTTCCTGCATAACAAATACATTCTGTTTACATGTTCACATTGAACGGACCCGATGCTTTCCTGAACTGGCACGTGTTTCCGTCTTAGGCAGTCCTGGAGCACGATGTGTTTCACAGGTCTCTCCTGGCCTGCTGCCTGGAGATAATCATTTACTCTTACACGGCAGTTGACAGCTTCCCATTCATCACTGACCTATTTGATGTTCCCGCCTTTCACTTCTATAAGGTAAGCGATTTTGATGAATTGGCAACTTTCCATCACTGCTGAGTGTGACAGTTGCTGAAAGCATTCTTGCTCAGTATCCAAACATGTCACATTCGTTACAGGTGATAGAGATTCTGATTAGAGCAGAGGATGGCCTGTGCAGAGAGGTGGTTAAGCATCTCAATCACATTGAAGAGCAGATTCTGGAAAGCCTGGCATGGAAAGAAGATTCTCCACTGTGGGACAAAATCAGAGAGAATGACAACAAAGTTCCGACGTGTGAGGAGGTAAAATACAAAGTTTAGGTTTTCTCTTCCTTTTTACTCTTTAGCAACTTCTTCTGTATGAGTTCCTTTGACATTTTAACGGGAATCTTTTGGCAAATAAGGGTCGAATGTTTCCAAAGGAATCCTGAAGGAAATTCTCATCCAGCTGCTGTATCCATGTCCCTCAGGCTAAGTTCGGCCTGCTGAGGTTTGTGCTGTTCTTGTGCCTCCAAATTTTGTGGGGGTTCAGACCCTACTAAATCCCCAGGTGCAAACCATCCCTATTTGCTGAGTGTGGCTTATGCTTATTTCCCCTGCTTTCCTCTTCTGAGGCAGGCGCATCTCCCCCCACCCCCACTTCAGAGGCACCTTCAGATGCTTGGTGTTTGAGGTTTAAGTTTTCCAGCCAGCATGCTTTCTTCTTACTGGCTAAGCTTAAATGGAAATCTTTTACCTGGCAGCAGCCCCATTTATCCTTCTGTTTTCGTAACCTGGAAAAATGCAGGGCCTTTTCTAGGCATTGGTTGCCCATGCCTGCTGTTATGCCTCCTAGGCTGCTGTTCGTCCAAAATGGGTCCCTTTTGCTTTCAGTCAGACTGGGCAAAGTCAAGGAAGTACTGCAGAATGCAAGAGTATGATGAAGCATAGATGAGCAAACATAGGGACTGAGGAGGGAGTATTTGCGAGCAGACTAGCTAAAGAGAGGAAGGGCCCCTTTCCTGGAGATCCTGTTCATTAAGGACGCATCGTCATCAGTTGCCCGTAGCCGGTTGATGGAGTGATACTGAAACAGCATTGCATTTTATTGGGTTCATTCAGTGAATTATTAATTCAGTTTCTGGCACCAAGTCATTATTGAACTGTTGCTAAGGCTTAGTTTCAACAATATGTTTCCTGATCTCCATGCTGTACTGTTGGGTTGTATGATCCCTCCTCTCCCTAACACGCTGGAACTTGCCTTTTCTTTCACAGCCTGTTGTGTAAATATAACATGTGTTCAGCCTTAGTATGATTAGGGTTAACCAGAATTGCCCAAAACCTGGGTTCAAATGATAGGCAAGCCTGGTTAGCATATAGCCATAATTAGTGCCAGATTAAAACCATGCTTGGGTTAATCTTAGTGGATTGGACATGACCACGAACCAGGTGAAAATGAGCGAAATCCACAAGCGGGCAGTACGAAGGAAGGCATATATGAGCTCCCAGCATTCCCTTGTAATAATAGATGGCTGTGTCTAAATAACTAGTTTTTGCATGCAATAAAACTGCATAAATCTTGCTCTGTTTTTAGGTAATGCCGCCTCAGTATTTTGAAAGGTCAAATGGGAACAGCGTGGCAGGTTCCCCTTTAACGCCAAGGAGACTAAATGAGGTTCGTGCGGAAACTGGAGCACTGGGAAAGGGTAAGGGTTTGCAAATTGATGGGGGACCAAGGGTTGTCATCCTAGCAGAACTGACCAGCTCTGAGTATTGCATTCTAACACAGGGGGCAAAAAATCAATTATACCCATATCTTTCTAAATCTCAGGCCTTCAGAGAGTATTAAAAACTTCAGATGCTTTGTAGGTTCTGATAAATAAAATGAAATATTTGACAGAGGCAACTCTTTTGGGAAAAAATATCTTTCTTTGTCCCATTTAGTTTTCTTCTCGTGCCCTTGACCTTCCTTGCTCCTTTTGTCTTCCCAGTAAGTACCAATATCAGGACACAAACTATCCCCTAGCAGGGTATGTGCAGAGCTCAGATTGCCAGTCTGTGAGCTGAACCAAGCAGCCATACGTGCCTCCAAGAGTCCCCTTCCATGGCTATTCCTAACAAACCAGGGACGTCCTACTACCCCCAGGGAATTGGGCAACCGGGGAGCTACCCTGCCCCCCCCCCCCAAGCATCCAGTGTTCACTCACACACGCTACTGCGTGAAGCCAGGATGGGTCATTTGGTCAGGGCGACGGAACCCCTGTAGAACTCCTTTTCTCCTTATCTCCAGATTCCCAGGAGATCCTGCAACTTGTAAAACGCCATGAAACACGTATAATTTGGGGATTGTGGGCACTTGCTATTAATCTCTTCTATTTTTATGCCAAGATACTGATTTCATTTTAAACAGAGGCTTTCAGGGGTGGGCACTTTCATCCCAGGGAGCCAAATATACTGAAAATGAACATTAGCAATTGATGTGAGGCTTAGCAAGTCTCTCACAGCAAGCCGTGGCTGCAGGAACAGAAGGCGCAGATGGGTTTTAGCATGTTGCCGCATCAGTGGCGATTTGGCACACAAGTGTCAGTCGTAAGAATGCAAGACAAGCCCTGCTGGATCGGACCCAAGGTCCAGCTGGCCCAGCACCCCGTGCCTGCTTTGGCAAACCAGCTGCCTGCAGGCTCCCTCAGGAGGAGGGGTGCGAGGTTTCAGCAACTGGTGTGTGCAGGCAGGCCGCCTCTGGTGGAGGGGGCAGCACATTGCAAGACGTGCTGATCGCCACAGATCGCCTCTGCTTCATGAACCTGTCCCGTCCCTTTTGCAGGCCCTCCAGGCTGGTGGCCATCACTGCTTTCCATGGCAGTGAATTCCCTAACTTCATACATGGTGTAAAAAAATATATTTTCTCTCGTCTGCCCTAAACCTTCCCCACATCAGCCTCGTGGAATGACCCTGAATTTTAAGTGTTACCGGAGAGGCAGAAAATATTTTTATTCTCCGTGCATAATTTTAAACACCTCCACCATGTCTCCCCTTACTTGCCCTTTTTCTAATCCGAACAGTCCCAGTGGCTGTAGCCACTTCTTCTTCCTTGATTCATGTTTTCCTTGCTGACATACCTTATCAGACAAGGTCACTGTGTTCTGTCAAAGTGGCCAGGTGACACAGTCTGGCAGCCCTTCGCTTGGTCTCTGAGTGGGATTAACCTTTGAACGAGAAGCCATTGCAGGGTTCCCTGTAATCCTCAGCACCCTTTTTTCCTCTTCTTTTTCCACAATACCTGCAGGACTTCCATCCTCTCCAGCCACACTTTACGAGAGATACAGCTCTCCAACAAGCAACCCGACTAGGAGAAGGTTGTTTGTTGACAATGACACGCCCACTGAAGCCACCCGGACGCCTGTCAGGGTCTCCCAGCAGCCTGTGATCAGCCCAATGCCTGTACAGAATGTCTCCCCGGAAACCATACCTGTCACTCCCGTACCTGGGCAGACCTTAGTTACTGTAGCAACTGCTACTGTAACTGCCAATAATGGGCAGACCGTTACCATCCCCGTACAAGGTAGGTGGGGATTAGATGATGAGTGAATGGTCTTCATAAGGGTTGCAACGTACCCATTTATGGCAGCTCTCAGCTAATGGGGTGAGGGCCAAAAGGAGAATGGCAAAGTGAAAGCATGTGGTGGAACAGGACAAGCTTCGAGAGAAGCCCATGGCCCAGCTGCAGCAAAGGTTCATTCAAAAAATAGGCAGAGCTTTGATGCATGTTCTTGTCCTCTCTGAAGAACTATCCATAGCCCACTGGATCTATAATGTCTGTTTATAAAGGGCCACGTAGGACTGGAGGTCCTTCCAGATTTTAACCAAGGCATCCTTGCTTGGAAGGACCACCTGCTGAAATACGGGTTGCCATGGGCTTTGTTGCTGTCTGCTGGGCTTAATAGTCATCTTTCATTCATATTTCGGGGTCCCTCACTCTTAACTGCCCATTTTCAACACTACTCCTTTCCTCTCACTTGTCCAGGCATTGCAAATGAAAATGGTGGAATAACGTTCATTCCAGTCCAGGTCAACGTAAGCGGGCAGGCACAGCCGCTCTCCACCTCCATCCAGCCGCTCAGCGCGCAGTCCCTTGCTGGGGCACTGAGTTCCCCGCAGGTGGCCGGCACAGCGCTTCAGTTGCAAGGCCAGTTCCAACAGATCGCCCTTCCCGGAGAACAGCAAAGGCAGCCCGTGGGGGGCGGCAGGCCCCGGAGGGCTGGCTCACTCGCGCTCTTCTTCAGAAAGGTACATCCAGGGTGGTGGGTGTGGCTGGACCCACAAAGAGTCATTCAGTCTTGGGGGAATAACCTGGTCAGAGAGGGAATCATTCTGAGAGCCCCGCATTCGTCCAGAGCGGAGAAACCATATCGCTCTGCCTGATCTGATGGCAATGCTGTGAACCGTAACAGGAGAGGAAGGGGTGCGTCTGCTTCCGCTTGAATGCCTAGATCACCAAGGGCAGCCCTCCAGCTCGGTTGGACTGCAGCTCCCACTGCTAGTAGGCCAGTGGCCATCCTGGCTGGGTGATGGGGATTGTAGTCTGGAACATCTGGAGAGCTCCGGATTGGTCAAATCTGTTCAGATATGTAGGGATGCAAATTGGCCTTTGTGTGATCTCCAGCCAACCTTCTCACCAGTTCAGAAGGAAGGAAGTACCGATTCACATGTTTACCAAGTGCTTTTCCGCCACCACTTAGAAGTTTCCACCAGGGACTTCACTTCCCCCACCCCATTCGCTTTTGCTCGCTTTGCTTTCCATAATGCTTCTGCATTGCTTCCTCTCATACTCTTTCAGCACCAGAGAAGTCTGACCAGCAGGATTATTGAGAAGTAATGGATTGTTGAGTTTTCGCAATTGCAACACAATCATTTAATTTTTGCAGTGTGGGGGCTGTAAAGCAATAGTTATTTGATAATAGTTGCTCTATGGTTGGATGGCTTAAGCTTGGGGCAAGTGAAAAGGAAGGGACGTTTCCATGCAAATTCCTTCAGGCGTCAAAGCAGAATTTTGTCAGCTGCGCAAAGTCAGACATCAGGTTTGTAACCCAAGCAAGAGGAGTTCTACAATGTGGGAATTCCGATCTTTGATATGAAAAGCAGAATTGGCAGGAAGCCCCCCAGTCTTTTCCTAGTTCTTACGGTCCGTATCCCCCACAGGTGTTCCACTTGGCCAGCGTCCGCCTGCGGGATCTCTGTCTCAAACTGGATATTCCAGCTGAGCTGAGGAAGAAAATCTGGACGTGCTTTGAGTTCTCGCTGGCGCAGTGTTCTGAGCTGATGATGGGCCGGCATTTAGACCAGCTCTTGATGTGCGCCATTTACGTAATATCGAAGGTAATGTCCCCCCAAGAGGAATGAGGTTGGGCTGAAGCCCTCAGCATTCAGGAGATGTCAGGGAACGAGTGATGGGTAAGCCCAGATGAGTTCTCCTTTTGTATTCTAGGTTACGGAAGAAGACACCTCATTTCAGAATATCATGCGCTGCTACCGGACCCAGCCACAAGCTAAGAGCCACGTAAGCACATTTTGCTTGCACATACCATTTGAGACACGTCCTCAGTTGGTGCAAAAAGGCATCCAGGAATGGGTGGGCCTTCTTGGATCCCCTTCTCAAAGCACTTCAAATTTGGTTGACTTCTTTCTGGCACCAGACCTCCATCTTCCCTGCCTTCCACCAGTGCTCCCTTCCTTTTTACATGGAATTCAGTTCCAGAGCCTTTGTCCCTTGGGCATCACCTCTTACTTTTAACTCACATGGACCCATGTTGGTTGGTTGGTTAGTTAGTTAGAGCCAGTGTGGCATAGTGGTTAAGAGCGTGGGGCTGGGACTCAGACGATCTGGGTTCGAGTCCCCGCTCAGCCATGGAGCCACCTGGGAGACTTTGGGCCAGTCTCAGACTCTCAGCCCAGCCTCCCTCACAGGGTTGTTGTTGTGGGGATAAGATGGAGGAGGAGATGTAAGCTGCCTTGAGCCCTTTGTAGGAAAAAGGCAGGATATACATCGCAGTACATTTTATATATAAATTAAATTAAATTAAATTAAATAAAAATAAAAATAAACGCAACAGGTCTATCCAGTGGAGAAGTTTTCAGCAGTGCTGCAGCTCCTGGGCTGGAGGGGCGAATCTGCCTTCTTCATTTCTGCAGGGGCTTTTTTAACAACTGTATTCTGACTTGGACCTCACCTGATCTGTCTTACATCTGGCTAGGGGTGAAACTGGAGCAGGACCAGAAGGTAGCCAGCCTAAGGCAACATTTTCCTAGCATGGGGCTCCTGCTTTTCCTGTGTGTTGATTGCAGAGGTGGACCAGTTGTGAACCTGGGTGTGCTGCTCTGAATTTTTTCCTAATTGGATGCTTTATGGTGATACTCTTTGTATCACTATTTCTGTTGGATTATTTTAGTTCACATTTTAGTTACTGGGGAAAAAGATATTTATAATGTATTTTAAATTAACAGCACATTTCTTTAGTTTTTTGTTTTTTTTTTTCACCCAATTGAAGCCAGGCATCCACCCTGAAATTGGAAAACTTTTCATCTCATTTTTCCCCCAGAATGTTGATCACTGTATGCAAAACATGCAGAAAAGGCGCACAGGCCATTTGCAATGCCCAGTTTGTTTAAACAGAAGAAGCCGATTGAGTACTTCCACTAGGCTGAATGGTGCAGCTTGTGCTTGCAGGAATTCCGTGTGGCAGGGCATGTGTGGAGCTTTGTATAAAAGTAATCAAGAGTGATATTTTACTGTCTGACATGAGAGAGCAGCCTTCTACAATCTAACACAACTTGGGCCTTTTGAAGGTGTATCGAAGTGTCTTGATTAAAGGCAGACGCCGAAGACACTCCGGCAGTGGCAACAGCAACCAGCAGCGGAATTCCCCAACTGACAGAAACAGGGATAGAAGTAAGTGCTTTCAACTCTATTCTTTGAAAAATTGACGGAAAAGGTGAAACGGAAATACAAGTAGCCAGTATCATAATGCTGTAAAATACGTCTGTGGTGCAAATACTCCATCAGACAGACCTCAAAAATGAAATTGTAGAGCTGAAAAGGGTATAGAACCAGGCAAGACTGAGGGTATAACTTGCTGCCTGGTGCAGAAAAAGCGGACCCGGTAATTCTGAAGAGCACTTTGAGTTGGAATAATCCAGTTGCACTGAGTGGTGTCAAAGCGTCATCCAGGACAGATCAAGGGAAGTCACTTCTCACCGCATAGTTAGACTGTGGAATTCACTGCTGCACAGCCACCAACCTGAATGAAAGGACTTGTGACGGACGCTCAAGGATTACTAGTCCCAGTGGCTATATTTGGAGATCATCCGGGGCAGAGAAAAATGTTGAATAAAGGAAGTTGTGATGTATTTGCTCAGCAGGGTTTTAGGGACTGTTAGCCAGCAAGCCTTATGGAAACCTTGAATTTTGTCTTGATAGCAAGCAGGGATTCCAGTCCAGTCATGAGATCTAGCAGCACCCTGCCAGTTCCGCAGCCCAGTAGCGCCCCGCCTACTCCGACACGCCTGGCCGGAGCCAACAGTGATATTGAGGAAGAGGAGCGCGGGGACCTGATTCAGTTTTATAACAACGTCTACACGGACCGAATTAAAGACTTTGCCCTGAAATACTCCTCAACCAATGGAGTAAGTGGAAGTCCCCTTTCTTTAAGCTGCCATTGCCTTCCTGCATCATGTCATAAAGCATTTGTGTCTGTCTACTTCGATGTCCTTGGCTGTTGCTTTAAAAATAGTACATTTGCCACTGTTTGCACTGGTGGATCCTTCAGAGTAGATTTGGGCCATCTGGTGAGTGCAGGGAAGAGTGGGGAACTCCAATTTTCCAGGTGAAACAGCAAGCTTGGATCCAACATGAGATACTTGATCTTCGCTTAATGGAAAGCTCTTTTCTTAATAGTAGAAGGATAGCAAAGATAGAGCTGGTGTACACCATAGCCCCCCAAATAGTAAGATTCTCAGCTGAATTGGTGCAAATTACTAAACCACGGATCCGCTTGCATTCCCACAGTAGAAATGAGTGGCACTCTAGTTTCTCTGCTTCACTGGCAAACGCAGGTTAATGTGGTTGCCTTTTTGTTGCTAGGCTGAAGCCCCTCCCCTGTCTCCATATCCTTTCGTAAGAAGTGGCTCTCCACGCAGAATACAGCTGTCTCAGAACCACTCCGTTTACATCTCCCCGCACAAGAACGAGTCCACACTTTCTCCACGTGAGAAAATATTCTACTACTTCAGTAGCAGCCCATCAAAGGTAAGAGCTGACGTCTGATCACTTGCTCCTCCCCTTTGCCATCCAGGATGGGAAAGTTAATGTTGGTAAAACTTCCTTTTCTTTCTCTCTTTCTTTTTCTCTCTTTCCCTCTCCTCTCCTCTCTTCTTTTCTTTGGTAAACATGCTTGCCTTGAGGCTGCTGGCCAGTTCCTCCCTTTGTATGAGTTCCACATGAAACCCTCAGGGCTAATCGCTTGCACTTGCTTTGTACCCCAGTAAGATACAGTCGGGGCTTAATGTCAGAACTTTGGCAACTAGAAACGTCTACAGCTGAAATTAGGGACAGAAAGTTGGAAAGAGTTGAAATGCAGTCCACTTTTTGTTTGGGATCTGTGATCATGGAAATACATGTTCTGTTTAGCAAAGCACACTGAAGTTACTGGTCATTTTGCTGCTTCCAGGCTTAGCCCTCTACATATTCAAAAGGTTAGATGCTTTTATGAGAAATCCACTTAGTTGTCATTCCTTGCTGGGTCTAATCAAAGTTAGGTCTTTGATCGTGTCCCTTACAGACTGCAGGAGACTTCTTTTGACCTTTCTTCTCAGGTTGCAGTTCTAGACAGACTGAGGAACAAGACAATCAAATGGCACTGCCCCATAATCATAGAACCAAGTTATTTTGGAATGTCTTCCCTTCCCAGAGGAAAGTGTGGGCTTACAACCAAGCCCCTCTGTAAAGTGGACTTGATTTCAAAACAGAATCCTCCCAAACTGTGTCCATATAAGCCGAATTTCTCTCCCAATGGAAGCAATTGTTGAGAGCTGCCTGGAGGGCTTCAGCTGTTGCATGCATGCGTGAGCATTGATGAATCAGTTGATCCTGCCAGCAGACAAAGCCAGCCACTGAAGCCTTCCCATGTCTAAATCATGGAGCAAAAATCAGGACAGTGCCGAATGCTGGTGCAGGTTGGCCAGTATGGTTTCTGCTTCAGGTGGCTCGGCGGACAGACCTGATGGCCTCTGCAGCAAGGGTGGCTGGGACACAGCCTGGGTGGGGACTGTGCTGGCGCTTGCTGCAGCCCCACCTTTTAAAAAGATTTTTTTAATAACAAACAGAATGGTTCTGTTGGTGCTAGAAGAGGGTTAAATTTAGCCTTGTGCTCATTTAAAATACATATAATTTTAATGACTGCCAGACTTCCCGTAACCACTTTGAAATTAGTTCCCCTTAGAATTGCTACATCTGTCAGGCCATGGTGCTAGAACAGGATTAGGATATATGCCAAGACAGAAACAGAGGGAGTCAGAAGGGGTCTCCTGGGCCATCTAGTCTGACCCCCAGCTCCGCTCACGACATGCCTAACGCATGTCTGGGACAACTGTGCTGTGTAAGCTTTCGAAGCAGTTCGGGCCAGTTTCTTGGGGGAGAAAAGGGTGCTTGGCTTGGATGAGCACTACCCTGCACTACTCCGTTTTCCTTGTTCACGGTATGTTTCAGAGGCTTCAAGAGATCAACAGTATGATACGAACCGGGGAGCCATCGACAAAGAAGAGGGGCATTGTCCTGGAGGAGGGGGCTGAATCGCCAGCTAAGCGCATGTGCCCAGAGAACCACACGGCCCTCCTAAGGAGGTTACAAGATGTGGCCAATGACAGAGGCTCCCACTGACCTCAAACAGACGCAAACGTGGGCTGGGGAGGGCGTTCTTTGGTGCTTTGCCCGCTGGAATTTGGCAGCAGCTACAGATCCTTCGGCCGCCAGGCCTTTTGAAGCATTTTCCATGGAAAAATGAAGGATTTCTGAGCCCTTTCTGGGAAGGCAGTGCTTCTGGCACGATGAATCGCAGCTCTCAAAACGGCTCGACGCAGCCTTTGAACAGAGGAGTGCAGTGCCATAATGGAGGAAGCGGAGCCCATTCCCCACTTCATCCTGATGTTGGCGCGGAAGATGCTACACGAACTCTTCCCAAGGTTATCTCAAGGGTGCGTCGGCAGCGGCAGTTCTCCGTCTGCATTTTAACTTATTTGGCAAAAACAATTGATAAATCCTCAGCCCAGGAACTGGCGATTACGATCTTTGCATTAATTCAGAGACTTTTTTATGCGATTTGGTAAACTATCAGTGTAATAATGCTCGGAATTCGCAGCATTGAAGATACAAGTCAGACAACAATGATGGAATTGACGGTATGCTCTTGGCCATCTGCTCCAAGGAAGAGAAGTCGTACCCATTTTCACGTGGGAATGCTAAAGTGTGCAGCACAACGTAATAACAATATTATAAATAGGAGATAGACAGTATTTTAAAGAATTTTCAAGAAAAATTAAGTCCACTTGCCCAATTTTTCTTTTCTGAGCCTTTCAAGAGAGCAGTGTAGGGACACTTAATGTGTATACAACATTTTCAGTTGTTTTTAGCTGTGAAATGTTTTAAGTGAACTCTATCCAGAGGGTAGCACTTCAACAGCTCTAAAGCATTGTTTTGAAATGCAGATTATAGAGAGTTTGGCGACTTTGCAATGGCACTTTTAAAAAAATATATTTTAAACAGCCAAACCATAAGATGTATTAAATTGCTTGAATTTGTATTTATTTTGGAAGTGCACAGGGGTGGTGGTATTCAGCAGGTAGACATTAGCTTGTAGGGTGTGTCTTCCTTGTTCGCAAGCTGTTGTATTTTCACCTGGTGGTTTGTCTGCAGCGGTCCTCCGCAGAGAAAAATCGCAGTAGGCCACGCATTATTGGACAAGGTTGGAGGCCGTTGATGTATTGCAGTGCTTAACCTAGACCAGAGAGACTGTTTCGCAAACTAGTGCTTTCAGAAAGAAACTCTCTGGGTGATGTGTCCATGGCTGAACCCACACAGCTTGACTAAAGCATAATAGCTACCGTTGACATTATCTCGCTTTTATTGGAAATAGCAAGCAAGGGAAAAGGAAAAAAAGCAATGAAATGTACACGGCAGGCACTTTAGTGGCCAGTTTTAAGAACTGTAGATTGTTTTTTGAGTACTGCAGATGTTGAAATGAGCCCTATTCGTTACAGATGCTGCGTGTGCAGCTTTTACAGCAAACCGGTGCTGTTTAATTATACGCTTCTAAAAGAATCTAAACCTTTATAGCCTTTAGATTTGCAGAAGGGTTTTGTTGTTTTTTGGCGGTGGGGGGTTGTTTTTAATTCCACTTTCCAAATTCTCCAACGTTCACCTTCTATGGATTTCTTGCTTGGGTGATGTAGTGTACAACTATAATGTACGAACTGTTGAGAAATGATAAACATGCATTTTGATTTTGTAGATCATTTCCTAATCACATTTCTTTTCTAAAAGGAAAGGAAGCTGTGTAAGATGGGAGTGGGTTCCACCCAAGAGGAAACTTACTCTGGGTAGCAAATACTGATCAGCCTGCCCAATAACACCTGCTTGTAACAGAGAAGGACAGTAGAGAAAGTTCAGAGCATATTTACACATTGTTGTCTTTACAACCTGGAATCTCTCTCTTACCTTGTGAGTTTCCCAAAAGAGTGCTCCAACACCGAAGTACTTAACTTTCTTCAGCAGGTGAATACTTCCAAGAAAAAGCAACACAACACGTGTTTTTTCCATGACTGGTCTTTTATTCTTTTAAGATGCCACCAACTGCACATTAGTCATGCGTGATCACGGCAGCGGCCGACCACACACCCCTCTATTTCACCAAGAACTCTACAGCATTAGGAGCTTGGATCTACTGGTCAGACGGCCCTGCTCTGCTGACCAATGTGCAACTCCAGGCTGCCGCTGATATTACGCCCACACACCTTAAGGCCACTGGTTTAAGATGCATACAAACATCATGAAGAAAGGTTACATATGTCTTTTCATGACAATCTTTTGAGCTCTGCCAGTCGTGCGCCTCAGTAACGAAAAAAATGTCAGTCTGATCTTTCTCCTGTGTGATACTTGCAGGCAATTAGGGTGCAAGGTCCAAAGAGTGTGGGCAAGTCATACCAGGAGCAGCCTTTAGTGACAACAACTTGGGGGGGGGGGGGGCGATTAGATGCAACCATCATACATGCCCATCTCAGCCTTTCTGCCCCTAAAAGGGCTAGAAGGAATAAGAACCAAGTATTTACAAATTCCATATCCTAGTGTATTTACAATAGAAACCAATGCATTTAAAAGTTTTAAATATAGTATTTTACTCTGCTATATTAGTTTACATAAACACAGCTTACCTCTGGAACGAGTTTTTCCTGCCTGCCCTTTACCTTAAAAAAAAGCTTTAAAAGTAACCCAATAAGAACCTCGGGTCGTAGTAGAACCCTGCGGTATTACCCACCCACAACGGACTTGGCTAGCAAGAGTCCAGCCTTGTTAAGAACTACTTCCAACCTGCAGGCTGCAGTTAAAAGACATGTGTAAAATACCAAGATGAGTCCAAGCAATCCTACGGAGCAGGTTTACTTGAGTCATTGCTAGCGTTTACTCTACTAATCCAAAGTCAAGAAGGAAAACCACGGCTTGGCTGTTTGGCTCTGTTACATTCCCTCTTGTAGAAAGTGTTGAGTGCATCAGCATCCGCAGGCGCTTAAGTGGGCAGAGTCTTTTCCTCTTTGCTGAAGGGCTGAACAGAACCAGGCTTCACCCATGAGAGCCCAGACACCTGCATGCTTTTGGACTGCTGTTCCTCTGCCTTCTTCTAGGAAGAAAAAAATCCCAGAATTAAAGAGCATTGCCTGGTACATACTTGGTCCACTCAGCTGTTTTGCAAGCCGTCTCCCACACTTCCTTGCCTAGGAACACATCCCAGGAAAGCGGTGAACTTTCACCATCCAACCTACTGCTGGTTCCAGGAAGATGTAGTTCTCGGTGGCATATTTTTCAGGCGTTCTCTGCATAGGAATTCCCTGCATCCCTAGCGGAACGCTAAAATTTAAAAGGCGGGATAAAAATTTGAAAGGGCTATGACCTGGCGCACAGCTCTCCTGCGTGGCGTTCCTGCGCCTGAGGCTGGCGTGGCTGCCTCTTGTTGGTTCTTGCTGGGAACTAACGGAAGAATGTCTGGAGGTAAACAGAGCAGCGGTTCCCAATCCCTCAGAATCAACAGTGCCACAAACAGGCATAAAAACTGGCAACAGCAAGATTGATCCCTTGTCTACTACATCCATACATACTGGGGCCGATGGGGAAGCCCCCAAACTTCTGGGCTGCTAGGCTCCTCTCTCTTTCAGAGACAGGAACCAGCTACCCACCTCTTCAGCTTTTCTGCTTTTACTATACCCATTATGACTGACCTCGGCAAATCAGTTAGCTACAGCAGAATAAAAAGAAAGGATGTTGAAGGGTCACAGCTCTGTTAACCAATGCATTACTACAGGCATCAGCTAAGAAACAAAATCCACATGCAGCTCAGATACCCTGCCAGAAGGACAGCAGTCTCAGTTCTTACCTGAACATGGTCTGGTCACAATATGTTCATCCACCAGTCTGAATAGGTGAGTAGAGTCCAGCCTTTTAGGGCGGAAGCAACTCTGCTGAGGGCTTTGGGGAATAAGAACACCCTACCAGCCCCAGAGAGAATCCCAGAGCTCTAAAGACATACATAAAAGCCTAGCAATGATAAACAAGAATGTTAATACTCTCGAGACTGGTGGATGAGCCTATTTGAGAAGACATGGGGGTGAAGGGAGAGAGAAACTAGCTACCCTGACTTCAACATTCTCCCAAATATACCACCGAGTTCTAACCATCAGAAGGATGACTCACTTGCAAGCAACCGTAGAACACTTGCTGGGGGGAATAATCCTACAGCCCCTCATTCCCAGCTGTGGCCCCTCTCTCCCACCCCACATGGAAAGAACCTTTCTGGCTGCTCTCCAAGGTCAGGAAAGCACCTCAGGGGTATGGCTTAAAGGAAATATTCCAGTGAAAGCAGGGGAAAAAAATGAAGCAGCCAGGATGCAAGGTATCCTGGTGCACACCAGACTCCTTCCCTACCTCTCTGAAAGGCTGTCAAAAGGGCCATCTAAGGAGAAGGTGGAACGGGGAGGCACAGAGTGTCTCCCCCACTCCTCTTGCAAGAGGACAAGTCTCCAGCTCGCTTGGCAGGCTTGTGCCCTTGAGCATCTATGTTGCAGCCCTGTGGACCAGGAGAAGTTGGGCATGTCAGCCCAAGTTTCTGAGCCAAGAGTAATCGTAAGAACCAGGCGTCAAAGGAAATGTGTTCACGAATGCCTCCTTCAATAGCCTGAACACGGCAGAATTGTGAAATGGCTAACTGTTTAGATTTTAGCCTACAGTGAGATTAGCAAAGCTAGTGCTAGTTAATGGGGGATCAAAATTGTGGTCGGTTTGTGCTTTCTGAAATTCACAAGATACTTGCAGAGAGGTGGATATGAACAAATTAGGCTTTGCACAGCTTGCAAGTAAACTTAGACAGCTGTCGAAGCTGGACACCAATAGGGTTAAGGAAGTCTGCCTCTAGTGGCTGGAGATGTTACTGTAGGCTTCAACCATATGGACATATTTAAATGAATTTAATGTCTTTGCACACCCCTAGGGGTGCCAAGTTTCAATTGACAAACCAACACAATACTTCCATTATTTGCAGTGTGTGTGTGTAGCTGATGGCGGGGAGACACCCTGCAGCAACCTAAGTAGGTAACTCCCCTCTCTCGCTTCAACAGCAATGCTATACAAATGACTTTGTTCTCAGTAATTTCTGGTTGAAACGGCTTCTCCCCGTTCTAGCCCTGCATGCTTCAGGACAAGACTGCTTTCCACCCGGTATTTTTCTCATCTCCATTCAGAACCCTACAATAACAACCCAGATCCCTCTTACCTTTTGAGTCAGCATCTTTTCTCTGGCTTCATCGTGTATAGCTGGATTCCAGGGAGAAAAGCTGCAAAACGTAAGCCGAATGTAAGCCAGAATTAAAGCTGGAGTTGGATTTAAGAGGCGCACAGCAATACAAGGCAGATGGAGAATGACAGCTAAGGGTGCCGTCCTAATGCCTTCTTAGACAGAAGCCCTACAGCTCCCACTTTGTTTTTGCTCTAAATATTCATAGGTTTGTGCCCTACGTATATCTACAGGACTCGGTGAATATGCAGTATTGAGAATGAATCAAAAACCATGAGCAATAAAACCATGGTTAAATGGTTCTTCGCCCCACAGATCATCTGCTGATTTAGTTGGCTGCAGCACGTTCAAAGGGTCCGCACGTAAGCTAAATGGATGAGACCAAAACCACCTCTGCAGAACAAGGTGCTTTTGCAGAGCTGGCCTGGCTGAAAGATCAAGGGAACGTGTGGGAGCACAAGATCCAAGCTGGAAGCAAGACTGCAAAAGGGGCTGGCGACTTTGGCACGTCTGGGGGAACACTTCCCACCACCGCAAGCCCCATCTTGACACCACATCCCTGCCTCTGCCTTTGGCATGGCAGCGGCCAAACTCTACATTTCTCTGGGAACAAGGCATGCTGGGAGCACAGCTGGTTTTCAAATAAAAACACATGCAGGGAGGATTCCAAGAGTGCAGTCCAGATTGAAAGCAAGTCGCCTTGTTTTAAAGCTGTGATGTAGAACTTTTTGGCCTACAGTCATAATTCAATTTCGGAGAAGTTCTCTGAAATGGACGGCAAAAGAGGCCGTGCCAAAAATACCAACATACTTTAAAGCTTTTGGTGAGCTATTTTACTACTTCAAACTGAGGAGAAAACTGCATAACAACTGGGAAACCATCAGCAGTATGAGGAAAGGAGGGGGGTGAGCTCAGCAGAAGGGCATATCATGAACTAGAGAACCTGGCAGGCCAAATTCAATTGCGAAGTCTGGAATACTGCAGCCCCCTTCAAAGGGAAAACACAGGTGCTTTTCTGCTATCCATGGCAATGGTAGGGATATGGGGCAGCAGCAACCACAAAAACTGCCAGAGTAAGCCTACGGCCTGCCCACCCGCTGGCCTGTAAAGACAGCGCCTCAACCTTAATTTGAGAGAGGATTCAATCCTGGAATTAAAGCGTGTCTGCAGTCATTTCTAGGAGAAGCACTCGAGGAGACATTGCAAAACATGGCATGCCAGAATGGTATTGCAGCTACCTACCTTATTGCATAGGGATCCTCTATTTTTGGTGGATCAAATAAGTGACTGCTGCATAACTTAACACTGTCAACTACCTTACTCTTGAAAAGCTGAATATCCTTTTCGTATCTACGAAGAAGAAAGAAACCGAGAAAAATGCAGCTCAGGGTTCCATCTGAAGCAATAATGGCATTGTGTCAAAGCACATAAAAAATAGCCCCCACCCCCACCCAGATTTCTGAGCAATCTTTTCTCACAGGAAATGCTTTGTGTCTTTTGATGGCAGGGAAAAATACTCAGAGTCGGTCTGAGCACAAGGCAAAGTTTAAAATCGTTTAAGGGACCAGACAATGTGCCTTCAGGCTGAAATGCAAGCGTTCCATAACAGGAAAAGAGAGAAATTCCCACCACATGTTCCCATATTGTTTCCATAATATTCCCATAACATATCCGTTCCCCTCAAATAAAAGGGTCGAGAAGACCTGGAGGATGCAAGGCTTTCTATGCCTCCAAACAAACTTACAAGACAGCAGCTTCAGGATTCAAAGGACTGGTTGTGTCGATCTTGTAGAAGACTCTGCGCGCGTACATCAGTATTTGCCATATGTGGTTATGGTTTCGCCTTTAGGAGAAGCACAAGAAAGCATCACCAGCACCCCGAACACAGCATCTCAATGGAAGCGCTGAGTCCAGTTTAACTTCTATTACACTGACCTCCACTTGGCAAATGCTCGTTTTACGTCCAGTTCGCCTGAGCCAGGATCGACGAGCGGGTGGAAGATAGGCAGATCAAAGACCAAGCGCTGAGAAGGAAGGGAGAGGAAACTGAAAAGCCCAGCAGGTGCCATCCTCTACAGATCAGCCACCAAGGCATAGCCTGCCTGCCTGCCTGCCGCCACCGGGGAAGCCCCCGCTTCCTAATTGCAAGTGCTGCTCAGTCTGGTTAGAGATTTTCTTATAGGACAGAGTCCACGCCTGCTCAATAAGCTCCAAATCATGTTCCACAGCGGCGGCCTAGGAAGGACTTGGTGTCCTTCAGATGTGCTGGACTGTGACCCTCATCTGTCGATGGGAACGGGCCGCTTACGCATCCTGCTGCCATGAGACTTGACTGCAGTCATTCTGCAGACCTGGCCAAAGGCCAAGCTCCGTGTGTTCCAGCAACAAGTTTCTTCCTGAAGATGCACCAGTAGCTTCCCCATTTGCCTCCCCAGCACCAGATACACGACCCAATCCTTTCCACTCTGCACAAACTCCACTTTGTTGAGAGCTCTTTTTGTCAAGCCAAGCTCAAACAATTATATAAACACAAAGGAAGGAGGATATCAAACAAAGTATGTACAACTTGGCTGCAGCTGTCAATGAAATGCTGGCCAATACAGTCTTAAATACTTTAAAGCAATTTAAGTTCTCTTTTGATAGTTTTCTTCAAAGGTTTCAGTAAGTTCCTTTGCACTGAAAGACTTACTGCTAAAGGGGTCTCGCCCAAAGCTTCTCTGCCCATTGCCATCAAATGTCTCAGCCTGGCTGGACCTCGCCTTTGGAGGTCTGCCAGAGGCAAGAGAGGAAACTGAAGTGGTAAACAAGAATGTTCTGCTACTTGCTCCAGGGAGACAGATTTTCAGAACAGATCTCGGGGAAAAATAAGTTCATAGCTGTACAGAGCAAATGCAGCTTTCTCATTTCATTCTCATATACACTGAGAGCACAGCTAAAGTAAAAAGCAGGTGTTACAATAACATCTACATCTAAAATTATCTCACTTTTCTACAAGTAGCTGGGACTGCAAAAAATCCTCCTCTGACGCTGACTGAGAGCTTGAGTCCTCTCAGAAAGGTTCGGAGAATAAAACTCTGACAAAGAGAATCACGGCTCGGATTTCATCTCCGGCACTGATTCACTAGGCGGCCTTGGGCTAGCCACTGCTTCTCCGCTCGAGCTCCCACAGCAGCCATATGCAGATAATACTGACCTACCTGAAAAAAAAGTTCAAGGACTATAAAAGAGAGTGCAACACTCCCAAATGTTTTAAAAGTGATCCAAACATGCAACTGTCAATTTGAGTGAATTCCTTCCTGGACAGAATTATCACATGCCCCATAAAAATTGCACCTGCTCTGTTTCACCAGGCTTTTTCCTCCTCCCTGAACTTCCAGCTTCTGACTGGTCATTATGAAAACTACCAAGCAAATGTAAAAACTGAACTCTTACATGTTCTTTTCCTCCTTCCTCCGTCCTCTTTAGTTTGTGTTGTGCTATTAGATTGCAAGAACGTATCGTTTTGTTTTATTGACGATGTGCAAACTGCTTTGGGAACCTTTGAAGAGCAGGCTAAAGCACAGTAACGTCTAATAACCACTCAGGTATGACACTGATACCAAGTGTTGGAGATGTTAACCCACTGATACTTACCGGGCAGTCACCATCCGGGTAGTTGTCAGGGATATACACCGTAAATTTAAACACACCATCCTGGTACAGACCGTGTCTTATGAATATTACTCCAAACCACACTACAAATAAAAGGAGGAGGATGAGCAGGTGCAACAGGAAGGGTGGCTCATTCAACACTCAGAAAGAAAATCGGAACTTGCAAACTCACTTAAAGCCGATTGATAAGAAGGTTGTATGTAGACTCCTGGCAGCTTCTGCTTCACAACCAACGTACTGCAAGAAAGGAAGCTTGCTCAGTCAGTGGCATGCAAAGGACACCTAGAGCAAGTGAATATCGCTGCTTTTCAGGAAGTCGTTTCACTTTAACAGTAACTAAAGTTTTATTTTACTGGAGACTGTTTTGTGGCTGGAATGCTGGGGATTTTCCTGTCTAACCACGGATATGGTGTTTAAAGCCACACAATGCAGCTTTAAACAACACTGCCGCCACACTGCTGAGGCAGAGCAGGTCCTGGACACTGCCCAGGGATCATACAGGTGCCACCTTGAATTCCATCATGAAAAAAAGCAAAGTAACAATGGTGTCTCTGCAAGGCTACTCCCTTAGGCACAGGATCTTGCTTCCAGCCATTTGTTCTGCACAGAAAGCTTCCTGGTAGCCCAAGCTTTTTCTCACAAGCAGAGAGAAGGTTGGCTTTCTAATCCCACTGGTGGCAGTGTGGAACAAGCTAGAGGAGAAACACAGTAACGGAGAAGCCCAAGAAATACATTCACCTGTTTGTGCTCTTCTCTTGACCCTGTAAACAGAGGGCCAACAGTCTATGTTTGAGGGTGGCTTAAATATTTTCTGATTATTATTGTTCACTCTTTGGAACCCATAACATAATCCTACTGCAGTCCTAGACGTGGACACCCAGAACATCCTTGCTGAGAACTGGTAGCTGTGAGAACAAGAGGGAGTTGTGTTCTCAGCTGGCAGCATCAATTGATGGAATTTTACCCAGCCCTCCCATGAAAGCACAACAATCAGCACAGGCGGCATTTTGCCAAAGCAGCCTCCCTCAAATAAGCGCTCATAAATATGCTTTGATTAGCTGACGCGTACTGGCCCGTTCAAACCAGACAAAGCCAGCCAACGAGATAGCACCAGCTGGGTCCCCACAACGAAGCCGCATCGTGTGCAGCAATCCAACACTGACGAGTGCCGATGTCCCACACCCATTTTCTGCGCCAGGAGAGATTTCCACAGCCACATGAGAAAGGGACTGGTATTTACCAAACTGACTGACTTCCTGTTTAACGGAGTTTCCCTGGCAATTCTGCAACCTGCCCAGGAACTTGGGGACAGCCCAGCTCACATTCAGTTTTAAGACTGGCAAAGCGAAAGTCACCCCATCCATCCTTAGCGGCCTATTCAAGTACTCCTGCCAGCACAGCTATCTTTGCATTAATTTCGCTAATGAAGTACCAGTTGTGACATGCTGCTAGGCAGTGGAAGGGGATCGTGCCTTGGCAGGTGCTTTGTATACAACCATACATAATTTTCCAACAGCACCATAAAGGGACACCTACCATCACAGTCCGCTTTTGCCCTCCATGAATGATATCCTAGCTTTAGTCTGCACCCCATCAAACCAACTGGGAGCCACTGGGAGCTAAGCCAAACACTCTCTGCACAGCCCCGTCTTTGCAGCAATGCAGTCTCACCGCAGGTACAATTCTTTGGTTATGCCACAACAGGTCTCTTTCCCTCCCCTCCCCCTGATACAGGCAACAGACTCGCTTCTCTCTGAATCCTGAAGAATGGAATGGAACCCTCACAGAGCTACTAAGACTAACGGCTGATCCATCACTTCTCTGTAGCAATGTTTCGAAGCGCAATTTGAAACGTTTGTTCCTTATTTCTCCAAATAATGTTATATACGTCTTCTGCCAGCTCAAAGGGGTGCCCTTCCAACTGCCCAGGCTCACTACTACAGAGGTGAATGCAGCATACAAAGCCAGACTTGGCTGATCCTCCAAGAACAGACCATTCTCTGGAAACGCAAACAGTAAAGAAACAACTGCACAGAGAAACAGCACAGTTCTAGATAGACCAGAAGCACACATACAATTCAGCCAGGAGGGAGTACTCCAAGTAGAAAGGCCCGTAGGAGGCATGTGTCCCATTTGTAGACTGGGCGGGAGAAGTTGGTTTGGTCATTGGCACAGCATTTTTGGGAATAGAAGGCAGCTGCTTCTTTGGAGCCGTGCGTGGAGGACTGTTCTTCAGCTCACCAACCAGAGCCTTGTCTTCTGTTTCAGGTCTCTGTTCAAAAAATGCAGAACAGGAAAGAGCAAATTGCATTTTAGCTGCACTCTGTGAACAACAGTACAATTCATTCATAGTCACCCCTCCAGCATGAAGTGTTGCCCTCAGACTGGCAGATTTATAGACACGTGTTGTGGACTGGGAGAAGGAATGCAAACGGCATTGACAAAAGGAACAGAAACACTCTCAGGACAGGCAGTGATGATTAATAGTTGGATGATACAGCAACTACAAAGGCATTTATCAGTCAGATGGGTGGCCATCCATTAAAGCATTACCTTGAGTATCCTTGCATTCTAATTGTGCCTTTGATTCCATAATACCATTTTTAATCCACACCAAAGTTATCGCTCAGAACGTTAAAGCACAAAGCGAAAGGAAGGGGTGGGATGTGGCACAAAACGCTTAGCATTTATTTTTATAATTTGCCTTCCCAGTCAGTCATACTCCACCTTGCGTGTAGAATTTGTAGACATGCTCCAAAAAGGGTTCATAACGTGTGTTCCAAGTAGAGGGTGGTAAATCTGCTGTGTCTCCCCAACGTCCGCTTTCCGGGGCTACTTTTTATCCTAGAAGAACAGAAGGGAAGTTACCAACTCAGGATCCTTCCAGCGTAATGGCCATTCTACCTCACTATGAAGAGACAATACCCAGCTACACACTTTATACCAGGTGAATAACTTTTTGATGGGCCCTGTATGCCTCACTGTTCTTTCTGGAGAGACCAGCATGCTCCCATGTTCACTCAACAGACCTTTTAAGCTGCGGTGTTTTACTTAAGCCGATCAAGCAGCTTCTCACTCTCCGTCATTCAAAACAGGAAGACCATGAGCAAGCATTTCCAGGATCCAAATCCTAAGCAACCGCCCTCCTTAAGCTATGCAAACACAAGCAGCAAAGCTCACCCAACAAGGAGTCTGCATTTTCCCACTGCCCCCTGAGCAATGGCGCACCTACCCACCCCAACCCACCGCATGTCCTGACGCATTTTAAGCATTTAATTCTTCAACACTTTCCTCCGAGTAAGCCACATTTATAAGATTTATGGACTATGGGTGTAATGCCCTCATCTGGCTTCTCACTATATACCTTGCTAGCAGAAGCACATTTCCAAGCCCTGTAGACAGGACAAAAATGCAGGGCTGGGACTTGCAAAAGAGGATTGGCAGACAATGGAAGGAGGAAGGGCTGCCGCTCTTCCCGGGGCTTATTTCTGCTTTCGGAACATGAGGGGAGAGGGAATTATTTGCAGATGGCCTAGAAGAGCAGCACAGATAGGCAAGATTAGCAGGTGCAGGGGGCTTAAAATACTCCCTTTCAGACTAGTGATTGTCTCCAGCAAACACTCCGCGGAAACATTATAGCGTGGACTTAGGAATCCCACATTGTGATCGCAACATGTATTTTTACCATCAAGATAAAACGCTTAAAGCTAAGCAAGCTGTATAGAAAATGACTCCATGACTCTGGGAAAAACCCATATTTTACTTGTTCATGCATTAGATTTATATCCTGCCGTTTTCTTTTTAAAGAATGCAAAGCAGCTTATATCATTCTCCTCCTGCTCTCGATTGCATCGACAACAACAGCCCTGTGAAGTAGGTTGGGCTGAGAGGCAGTGCCAAGAGGGGATTAAAACCCAGACTGCCTGAGTCACAGGCCAGTGCTCTTAACCCCTCAACTGCACTGGCATATATTATACTATTGTGCAAACCCGCTCACTTTACCATGATAATTTTGTTAAATAACAACTTGGACCTCAGAGGCATGGCATAAACCTAAGAGTTTCACCTTACTATAAGCCTATATTCTTCCTCTGTGTTACACATTTATAGATCTTCCTTTTAGTTTCAAGAAATTCATGGCATCCCGTCGTAGAAGGTATACACACTGTAGATATTACAGCCCTTCTAATATAGTATCAGGAAGGTGAGGTTTCTATAGCTGAATCTAATGTCTCCTGCCTCTGCTTCAGGCAATTTTTACAGTAATCTTCACCACCTTTAATTCACAAGTATACTTAGAAGAGAAACCCCTCAGAACCCCAATTTGAATGCAAATTGTGCAGAGATCATGCGATGCCTCCCATCCGTGGGCCATCACCGCTGACACTGGAAAGCATTTGTTCTTCATGCAAACCTAGTCATTGCACCCGTTACTGTTATGTTTCCCACACTGAGCTAGAAGCTGGCACTGGCCAGCCACTTCAGGAAGGTCACCAAGCACTAGTGGCACTTTGTCCATGCCTTTCTTGAAAGCCACGCTACCCTTCCAATTCACGTGTCATTAACCCTAACCTAATACCCAAGTAAGAGCGCTTCCCCGAGGTCCCCGCTATGGGAAAGGCTTGCCCCTGTCATGACAATGCTTAACACTCTCCATGAAGACCGGCACATAAATTGGACTGGAGTGGCTCATACGTAGGTGCGCCATCCTGTTTCCTGGGAAAGCCCTAATCCCAGCCTAATGCCTCCGTATGCTGGACTTTCTCCCCAGTCAGTGTGGCCAAGGGTCAGGAAAGCTGAAAGCTAGTCCAGAACACCTTAAGGAGAAAGTCGGGTAAGATGAAACAGAACCAACTCCCAGCTAATACAAAGATACAAAGTGCATGAAGATCTGAGTTTATACAGTGCCTTTCCAGTGTAACAATATATAGGGAATACTGTAGCCAAGTGAGGGTAGATGTGTTTATTCGTAACCCTTGTCTAGGTACCAGAGGGAATGAGCGTATTAATGTGCCTGTGATCCTGCAGAAAGAAGGAATGCAACCTAAGTCAATGATCTTGGACTCAGAAGCAGGTAATCTCTGGCTGTATCACAGAAGTGGAATGTCTACAACCTGGATGTGAAACCAACTGCTCTTAAAGCAAGCAATACCTGTAAGGCAATATTTGATCTCTGGCCACATATTCTGCCTTCAGCTTACTGTCACATCTTCCAGATGCAAGGAGAAAAATTCAGCAACAGAACCCACCAATTTAGAGAGCTCGCTTACTTAGATAACGACTTTGCAGAAACTTCCAAGACTCCTGCTAAGCTTCTACTTGATTATTCTTAGGCAAGTGGGACTATGCAACTGCATTTCAAAGGGCTTGGCCCTGCTGCGGTGGAAAAGCGCTTCCCTGTAACCTAACCTGATCCTCCACCGCTAAACTGCCCATGAGAAGGTCGGCATGACTGCTCAAACATTTGTGGAGCAACGTGTCCCTTCCCGGCTTGGACCACACAACACCCAGGTGCTATTTCACCCAGGCGTCGGATCAGGACCAGCCCCACGGAAGCGGCAAGGCCAGGCACCTGCCCAAAGCCCGCCACCTGCAAGGCCCACGGAAGAGAGCCCCTGGCCCCGCTCTCCCTTGCGGCCTGTCGCTCACGGGCCTCTTGCTCTGGCTGACACAGCGGTGGGGAGTGGGGGGCGCAGGGATTCCGCACCCGCTGCCCCCGCAGCTCCAGGCAAGCGGCAGGAGCAGCAGTTGAGGAAGGAGGACTGGCAAGAGCACCTGCTGAGAAGCGTGATGGGAAGGCAGGCTCACTGGCAGAGCGTGTCTCTCCAGACTGGGCCCTCCAAAACCCGGCGAACTGAGGCTGTTGGAGCAGCGAGCTCGGAGCACGTGCAGCCCTTCCAACTGAGAAGAGGATGCAGCCTGCATCCTGCTTCTTTCAGGAACTGTCGTGCAACCTCCTGGTAAGACTTACTGCTCAGAAGCCCACATATCCCTGGCCCCCTTTGATCCTCCACCAAAGAGTCATTATTCGGTTCCTTGTAACCCTGATTTTCACCCAATGGCCCCTCATTTGGCTTTGCATCTCTCTCTCCTGAGTTTATACATACTTTATGCCAGTATCATATATAGCCTATGTCTTCAGGAGAAATGAGCTCAGCTGACAAGCATGGAACATAAAAATAGGCCAGTTGAGAAATGGCAACAGGTTAGACTTGTCTACCAGCTCGGATGCAAGAAAATTTTGGCACACCTTTACCTTAACATCTCATAACAACTTCCAATAGCAATTTCCTTCACATACCAGACTCCAGAAATATTTATTCTTCTATCTTCAAAAATAAAAAAATAAAAGGCCTATACCAAGTCAAGTGAGCTCCTCATTGCTGTAGAAAATATAAGCAGAACTGGGTCACAGGAAGTTGTGCCGCCTCATCTCCCATGGCAGTCTCCATGTTAAAAGCCCATTGACACCAGTCTAAGACCAACCTGACAACGCAAGTCACCTCAGTGGAATTCGACAGCACCAATACAACCGAGTCTCGTCATTCAGCCAGTCTGCGCCCCAGCAACCGGCATTCGGGGGCTCAGGGAAGCTGCACTGGCAAGGAACTTGAGGGAGCGTGTTCTCTTTCGATCTGCCTGCGTCGTCACTGAGGTCATCAGACCATCGGACGAGGCTTTCCTGGGGCTTCTGTTTGGCCCTGTGGCCCAGCTGGAATCCACCAGGAGCTTGGCGGCCCCTCTCTGAGGGAGAGGACACCAAAGGCAAGAGAGCGTGGTGGCAAGAAAGCAGCACAGACGCAGGCCTTTCAGCAAACCCCAACGGACCTCATAATGTGAGCCTTTGGCATCCCCACCCTACCTTTCCCCCTACAGCCTGCTCAACCAGCCATATGGCAGCCCAGCTCACAGCTAAACCTGCTTCACTACTGACCCCTTTAGCCAGCAGTGAACTCTCTTTTCCTTGCACTTAGGGCAAGACTCACACATCCCAACAATGGTGCCTATTGTTTGCTCAACACCCCCTTATATCCAGCAGCCCCAACACCAATGCGCTACTTTCTGGCTGAAAGAGCAGCCTCCCAGCTGGAGGCAAGAGGTTCGCGGAAAGCCTGATGTGGGCCCTATCCTTCGCTCACCCCAACTGAGCACACTGCACCCTCTAAACAGAGCTCCTTTTTAAAACAAAAACAGCAACAGCAAAAGAGCGCCTCTTGCATCGTTCTCCCAGCTTCTGTTCCTGCCATACTTGCCACCTGCTCCTTTGGATTCCAGAGAAGCCCAGTTTATGCCGCTGTACCAGCTTCTCAGGAAACACACTATCCGCACCCGGCTCTGTTTGAAGCAGCCGTCTTTTCTGCCATCCAGCCTTCCTCTGGATTTGTCACCTGTTTGCGTGGTACTGACCCAACCCCTGTGCGCTTAGGTATTTCCCAAAAGGAGGATACAGAGGCAGAATGCTTCCCCAGAGGAATGTCTGTCAAACTGCTGGTTTAAGGGCTCCGGAGCAGGAGGAGCACTGGCTTACCCCCTTTAAAAGCAGCACAGATGCCCTCAAGTCAGCATCTCAACAAGTCAAAGCTATCCTAGCTGGACTTGCATCCTTTTAAAAGCATAACGGGCCATCACAAACAGAGTGCTTCACTTCAGCTTTTCAAATGCCATGCCTTGGAACCTCATCTTGACAAGTCCCAGGGCAGCCACGATTCGCTTCCTGAAATAGCAAACCTAAGCAAGAGTAGCACCTTTGCCCCAGCAGCGTACGAGAATGAAGAAGATTACATAAGCCATCTTGATTTTGTCGCTGGAAAAACACAGGGTACAAATAAACATTGCTATAAAATGGTGTGACCAGCTGAAGCAGCTCAGGAGGTCAAGCTCTCCCCACCCCAAGAACCTAATAAGATGGGAGAGAGCTTCATCTGTTGAACTCCTGCCTGACAAACCACTGGCTAGAAGCCTCCCGAGCAGGGCTAGTAGAAAGACTAGCCACCCTTTTTTCTGTTAAGAAGCCTTTGCTGCTCCTGCAAGCCGGCATTTTGGCAAGCGGCTGTTCAGCCGGGGAAGCCTTCCCTAGCGAAAAAGCTTGGCCTGCTGAACATCGGCCTGTCCGGCTGCAGGCACAAAGGCGGGGCACCGCGGCGAGGAGGCGTCCCCGCGCCTCTGGAGGTGCAGCCCAGCGGGGCAGGCTCGCCCCTCCGGCCAGGGAGGGGGAGCCGGCTCGACCCGCCGCATACCTGCCTGTCCAGCTGCGGCCGGCCCGAGCCGTTCTCGGCAGCCCCGGGGGGGCCCGCGCTCCCCGCCGCCTGCGCCCCGGAGCCTCTTGGGCGCCCGGCTCCCTCGCCCTCCCGCACGGACCGGCCCGCCGCGGCTCCGCCCCGCAAGCCCGCTGCCCGGCGCACCTGCCGCCGCGCGGCCGAGAGCCTCCCGCGCCCGCCGCCGCCCTCCAGCCTAGGCCGGGCTGCCAGCGCCGCCGGACGCCGCCGAGCTCCGCGAGAGAACGGCGGGGGGAGGGAAGTGTGGCCCTCCTCGGCCACCGTCGCGAGGGCCAACCCGACGCCACGCATGCGCACCCCGCCGGCCTTCTGCTGCGCGCGCCCCCGGGCCCAGGAGGCGCGCGCCCGCCGCCGCAGAGCTCACCCTGCTCGGCCGTGCCGCCGCCGCCGCCGCCGCCGCGCCGCTCCCCCGACCGCCCGCATCTGACCAGCTCCCGAGAGGTGGATATCCGGCAGAGGCCGCGCGCCGCCATTGGCCCGCGGCGCGGCCAATCACAAGCCACGCCCCTCCTCCTGCCAGCTTTTGTTTGTGTTTGCGTGCGACGCCCGCACTCACCTCTCGGTGCCCCCGAGGAAGCAACGCGGAGGCCTCGCCTGTTGCTACGGGGCGGGGCCTGACGACGCCCAGCTCGGGAATCCGGATTGGACGGCGGCGCCGCCCTCTGTGAAGCAGGAGCGGCTCGAGAAGATGGGCGGCGCGGCGCGGCCAATCGAGGACGCCCGGACTACCAATAGAGGCGGTCCGTTGGGGAGGAGAGCGTGGCTGATTGGTGGGGCGGCGCCTCGAAGGCGCCGTGAAGCCCCGCCAGGAAAGGGCAGGAGAAGAGACGGTCCCGGGACTGCGCGAGTCGCTTCACACGAGTCAGAGGCGCGTTGCTCGTGGGGACGCCCTTCGTCCGCGCTTGGCTCGAGCACGAGCCGCTACTCATCCGTCGATTACGATTCACAGTCTGCTGTTAACACAAATAGCAGCGATAATAGCAGGAATACTCACGAATCACTATTGCTGTTTTTAAAGGATTAACTAGAATAAGAATTAAGGCAAATCTCGCTGTTTTTAACTTCCTGTAATCCCCCAGTGAAATGTATAATAAAAATACTGGGAATAAATATGAAATATAAATATGAATAATATATATATATATATATATTCCGCATTCATTTGTATGGAATCAGTGCAAGGAAATCCTTGCATAGGCTTCCTGAAATGGAGATCGGCTTGATCCACTATTTTATTGATGCGTGCCCTGCTCATAAAATTAGATGTGCTGGTGCTGCGTGTGTCAGAATCTTGGAATCTCAATTTGAGAAGAGGAAATAAAACTCGGGTTCGTGGGAAAGCTCAAGCGTCCAGACCATCTGAGGCTTTATTGTATTACCCCAAGGTTCCCACGGTACTCATGATAATGCATGCTGCATTACCAGGCAGGCAGAGCTGAACTTTGCTGCAAAGCTTCAATACCATTACAGGGCATTTATAGGTGCACAGGTACAGGGCAATTGATGACAGAATGCAGAGATTACAATAAGATTCTGAGATCATCACATACAGAACAGATAAAGGAATATCAGTCCTTTACAGTAACAATGAGATTACAATATTTCTAATTGCCTGTATTGACACTTTAGTTCAGTAGCTTGAACCCATCTCCAGGTCTGTTTAGACATGTACATTCAAGCTACTGAGAAACTACGCATGATAAGCTCAAGATAAGTTTTTTTTTTTTTTTGTAAGCCACCCTGAGGCTTCGGCGAATGGGGCGGCATAGAAATTTTTAAATAAATAAATAAAAATAAATAAGACTCTTATCTAGACTCTAGACATTCTGAATTGGCCAGGGCACATGGAGCCTCTGGGCTAGCAAAAGATACTTCCTTGTAAACTGAATTCCAACAATGACTAATCATTGTGAAGGTATACAATGTAAATTTGGACTAAATGGCCTGTGTGCTGTAGCTTACAGCTAAAGGTGAGAGAAAGGAGCGGGGAATGCCATTTTAAACAGTGACAGCTTGGTTTTGAGAAGGAGTACAGGATTTGATCCCACAATTCAAAAGCACACACAAAAGTAATGCTTTTCAGACAGGATTTACCCAAATTTTCCCAACACGTGATTGAGAAGTTAGCCTTGCAAGCGTTGCAACTATGCTCTCAAGACAAACCGTTCCCCTTCCAGAGGAAGAAACTAGGAATTTTCCTGCTGTTTCTCCGTCGCCGCTTCTGTGCAGAATTCAACCCACAATTCTCAGGCTGATTCCTCCCCCAGCCCAGCTCCAGGCTTCTGAAGGCCAGGCACCTTCGGTGGATGCTGCATGCCCGTCAGAGTTGGCACTAACTGTGATCACACCTCACTTTCTTTCTCATCACAGTTGCCATTTGCTTGATGCACGTGAGGCTTGCAAAGAGAATAAGCTCTGAAGGAAGCCAAATAGGGGCCGGCAGGTGAAAACTTGCTAAAAGGAGGCAGAAAGGGAATAGGGGTCAAGGGGTGGGGAGGGTCTTTGAGCTATTGGAGTTTGTAGGGGCTTGCACAACTCTTGCCCCATTCTAGTATATTTCTGGTACTCATACCAGTGCCCAGTCTCCCATAGATGTGGAAATAATTAAAAACGAGGAAATACCATCCTTAGGGGCTCCAGGTGGTGCAGTGGTTTAAACTGCTGCGCTGGTTGATCAGAAGGTCGCCAGTTCGAATCTGCACCATGGGGTGAGTTCCTGCTGCTCCGTCCCAGCTCCTGCCAACCTTGCAGTTCGAAACCCTGCAAATGCAAGGAGATAAAAAGGTACTACTTCGGTGGGCAGGTAACAGCGTTCCGTGCACTTTGGTGTTTAGTCATGCCGGCCACACGACCACGGAGACTGTCTGTGGACAAACGCTGGCTCCCTCGGCCAGGAAACGGAGATGAGCACCACCCCCTAGAGTCAGGCATGACCGGACGTAATGTCAAGGGGAAACCTTTACCTTTTTACCATCCTTACCTCTGTTCACCTAAAAATGCTTACATAAATACATACTTCAGGGTTAGGGTGTTGCTCCTGCTGCATCAGCTCCATTTCATTTCAAGCAATGCACAGTGGCACACAGGAACGATACTTCTAGTAGTGGAATTTACATAGATTCTTCTCATAAAGATAAAATTAGCAGATTAAAGATAAACTCAAAGGGAACTGGCAGTCCAGAACCTCTGAGATCCTTGACAACATCCGGGCAGCTACCAAAAATGGTGCGACGGACCCAGGATGTTACTTCAAAGTCACCACATGAGTGAGGAAGAATTGCAGGGAGTGTGATCCAAGCAGGAAATCTGGGACAGCGCTTTCCCAGTCAATATATCACAGTTTTGTAAATTTGCCACAGAAAATACCACAAGATTTCTACTACCCATGAATGTGCCCTCCACAGAGATCCACAACCAATCTCGGATGCCTGATGAGCATAACATTACGAGAAATATTCCGCAAAATTCCCCATGTGGCCCCTGGACTCACCTCCTTCTCACTGAGACCACGGTTAGCACAAGATCCTAGCTGGTATTTTTTTTCACCCACAACTTGACTTGATATTGTTCAGCTGTTGAGATTCAAAGCCAATGCACTGCAAATTATGCAAAAATTACAAACTTCCAGGGTGTCTCAGTTTACCTTTTGCCCAAAAGTCTCCTTTAGGGCTCTTCCACAAGGAGTGACGTCTGGCATCATATAGAACAAGCATTAGACATTTATATTTAAAACTTTCTGCTGTTTTCACATTTTGGTAGTGTCGGCATTGCTGCTGACAAATTGATGCATGATATTTTGATTAATGTATAAATACTGATATGAAAAAGCTAGATATTTTACAGCTGCTACATTTAATTGGTTGGACTATGATTATTTAATGCTTTATTGACCAAAAAGTTCCTCAGATTTTTTCTTACCTCCCCAAATTACCATTTTTAATATAAGTACATATAAAAACTGCAGATGCTAAGCATCATCCCAAAAGAAGTAATCTTCCTTCACTCTTATCAGGGGAATGCCTTTTATAAGATAATCCCTGTTATGACTCATGTCTACTCACCCAGAAGTAAGTTCCACTCTCTTCTCTGGGACTTACTCCTATTTAATCCATGTGTATTGGATTTTTCTGTAAAGTGTATACAACTCATCAACTTAGATTTATTCACTGGCATGATAGCAGCAGTAGTAATAATAATAAATACACATCCTCAATCTGAGAGCTCTATGATTAAAACACTAACTTGGAGCCATCTTTATAAAATGATCTATAAACTCAGACTGATGGTGCAACCTTCGAGTTCTTTAATCAGAGGACTGTCATAATAAATAGTATCTTTTAAAATAAATGCATAAACAATTGCAAACCTGGACCAAATATTGACTGTGATGCAAAAACACCGTTCCAGTTGTATCTTTCTTCAAGGTATCTTTTTCTTCTCATGGGTTTCCTTTCTACAAGGTAAGAGTAGGAATGGGTGATGCTACCAGGTTGATACCACCAGATTTGGGGTTGCTTTGGATGTGGCAAAGCCATCTGTGTTGTAGCATGAATTCTATACGCATCTGCAAGCCAACAAGCAAAATAGTGGGACTTTTGAGAGGAGTTGCTGTGCAGAGCTATTTCTCTTCAATGTCTTGCTCACACTGTCAGCCACGACTTAGTCCAGTGTATTCCATCCCGTTTCCTCCCCCACTTTTCCAGTCAAGGCCCCCCTTTAGAAATGAAGGCATTTCTAGAAACCGTTGGGCCAACTGGGACTTTCTGACACATCCCCGCCGGGCAGGCATGGGGTTGTTTTAGTGTCAAGAGGAACATTGACCCCGTGAACAATGCTGAATCTCTGGTTCCCTGCTGACTGACCATCATTAGCTTGCATGAGTGTTTTCACTTGATCCACAGACTTGCCTTCACACTTTTATTTATTAGATCGATTGGATTTATATCCAATCCATTTATATTTATATTTATATCCCACCTGTTTCTTTACAAACTCGAAGTGGTTTACATCATTCTCCTCCTCCATCTTATCCCCACAACAAGAACCCTGTGAGGGAGGCTCGGCAGAGAGTCTGTGACTGGCCCAACATCTCTCCGTTTCCTCCACAGCTGAGCAGGGTCTAGAACCCAGATCACGGGAGTCCCGCATTCTTAACTACCATACCAGACTGGCTTTACTAATGTAGCAGTAACAACCCCCACTTGATTTATGATTTTTAAAGTTCAGGTTATGAAATGCATTTCTATAGTTACAATATTGCTAGAAAGGAAGGGAATTCCAGTTCATCCCAGCCTGCCTGAAATGATGCAAAGAGGAAGGTCAAGCTCTCGTCTTGCTGGTGCCAGAGTGTAGAACATGGAAGAATCAGTTCAAGTTGTGAAAACCCAGATTCAGGCTGGACATCAGGAAAAGCTTCCTCACTGGCAGAGCAACACGGCAGTGGAACCAGCTGCCTGGAGAGGTGGGTGGCTCTCCCACACCGAAGACATTCAAAAAGAAAATTGACAGCCATCTGAGTGGGATGGTATAAGCTGGTGTCCTGCAACAGCAGGGGGCTGGACCCGATGGCCTTCATGGCCCCCTCCAGCTCTACTATTCTAGGGTTCTATATGCAAACG